TAATGCAGTGAATTGAGTTTGCATTTGCGACATAATTTGTTGACTCCACAAGGATGCAACAAACATTACTAATGAACAAGAACAAGAGAAATCATTGCATTAATTACACATTATTTAACTTTTATTTCAATAAATAGTAATCAGCTGTACTGATTAAGCACTGTTTTAAACAGGCAAACCAGCTGTCAACGCTGCCGATAAACAACATCCATTTCTTTTAAACTACATGTCTTAAGACCTTTGCTGAGGAGTTTTTGTTTTATTGCTGTTTGTCTATCAGGATTACGCCAAAACTACAGATTTTCTTAAAACTAATTTGGTGGATGAGTGGAGTATGGAAAGGAAAAATCTATTAACCTTTAGGGCAGGTTCAATGAAGGGGGTGGAGCCAGGATTTCTTTAGCATTGTGAGATGGTTAGGTGGGTTTTTTCACGATTTTCAAAGAAAATTATGCAGATACCTCTTTGGAAATAATCAGACATATGTATAGCGCTGATATCAATAGGAACAGGTGACGTTCTAGGAAGATCTGAATTAGGATTCAGATTTTGTAGGGGGGTAATCTTTATTCAGTTACTGTATGATAACATGTATTACTTTTAATTATATCTGGTAATGGATATTTTGCCTTTTTCAAATATGAGCAGTTTGCAGAATGTTTCTGTGTACATGAAAATACTGGAAAAATCCCATAACATGAGTGTGTGTTGACTTATCTCAATACAGGTATATGCAAAATGTTGATGAAGTGGCCAATCAGCTCTCTGAGTGTCTAGTCTGAATATGACTTACAAGGACTTTTCATACCTGGAAAACATTGTATTTTTTGAGCAGGTGGCGGGTAATGTCACCTTGTAATTCTCACATAAAACATTGTATAGTGTCATCGCAGTGTTAACTGATATGCATTCAGCAGGCCACTCAACATCTGTTGGAGACATTTGTGCAACTGCGACAATCGTTTCCATAGAAATGTACTCATTTGTATTTCCATACACGTCCCATTTCCACGCTGGCCATAACATAATCACCTAACACTGTGCTTTCTACATTAAGATTAAATAAAACCCCTTTCTAACAAAGCCACAGATTGATTCTGTGGGTACCTAGAAAATGTTCTACATCTCCTGACCTTTGCTAATAATTTGATGTAACAGTTCCAGTCCCAGTTCTGTGCTTCAAAAGGGCACACAGGCAGACTGGAAGCACTGGTATTTATGTGACTTTGGAGCAACAGATATTTACTCATGTGCTACTATTGATCAGATCTGACAAATGTATGCATCCTGCCAGCTGGTTATTCTTCCAGTCTGGTTTTAATCTCTGTAGTGACCTTTCCAGTTCTCAGAGATGATTGTACCTATGGCTTAACATTGCTGACAGGGGAGTTCAGATAGAAGAGAGAGATTCTTGGACTTGTATGTAAGAGTTTTGTTTTCCATATCTGTCTCAGTGAGATCCAGATACCTCATAATGATGTCCTGATGGCAGATACTGCAAAATCATTTAATGTTGCAACAAGATTGTTCCATTCAATGAGATGTTCTACAACAGACAAAAATAGTTTAATGGCATTAATAACCTGAGTGTTGCTTAGTGCCTTTATATACATCTGTATTTATTTATTTGTATGAGTGAGAGTGACAAGAGATTGGTTACCTTTTACATGAACAAACTGTAAAGTTCAGGATAGTTGATATCTAGATGCTTTTGATGGCAGCATGTGTCTATACCGCTATTTCTACTCCTGTCTGTGTCCACATAAATGCTCTCAATGTTTGAATGACATGATAAAAAACAGGGAAAGTAAATCTATCAAAGTCTGGTCCAACTCTAGCTTGCATCAATCTGCAGTCGTCAAAGGAAGGTGGACTTGGCGCACTGGCACCAGATTGAAATCAGAAATCCGTCTCCCAGTGTCATGGCGGCCTCTGTACAGACAGGAAACGCAGACTGGAGGGTTGCAGATGGTAAAATGAAGTCTTCATTTATCATACAGTCATAAATCTGAAAATGCAGGCAGTTGCTGTGGGCGCTGGGAGCCCATGCCTGGTGCCAACTGCCAGGCAGAGATGCCGGCATCCTGGTGCCATCAGTGAGATAGCGGACATCTCTCGCTCTCTCTCTCTCTCTCTTTCAGGCCTGGAGAGATTTGTGTGTTGTTTGTAGCAATAATAAGGTTAGCAATGATAACATTAATGCTACATTTGCCATGAGGACAGCAGCAATATTCATCTCCACCCTAGTTTGCCACATCCAGTCATGATCCCCAGTTTATGACTGAATTTGCATCGTGTTAAGAGCCTGACGCTCAACTCACTCCCTGAATTCATGTCTGTGTCATTGTTATAAGTTAGCATTAGTTTTACAAACAGCATCCCCATTTTTACCAGAATCCATTTAAATTGGAAAAGTAAATGTAGTTGAGGTATCCTGCTATGTGCTACCACTGTTGTTATTTCCCTTATACTTCGTGTTGTCAGTGTGTTTTAATCTTTCAACAGTTCCACCGTGCTAAATGTGAAGTGGCAACACCCTAAAGGGCATGCCTTGCCAGCAGGGTTTTAGGAGAAAATCAGAGCCAACTGCATGCTCATTTTAGAACAGACTTTGTACACCAAAGCAACCTTTTACAGAGCGCCATCTGAAAGTAACATGAAATTTTCCCCTGATCAGACAACATACATGCCTCACACAAACACTAGCGCCCGGCGAACACATGCTGAGCGATAACATAAAAGACATGAAAGCGCACATTGATTGTCCCTGTTCGCTCCAACCCAGGCCCCTCTCCCCCCAGCGGGCAGGCACGCAGGCAGGCTGGTGGGTAGGCATTCCCTGTGCTCTGGCCGACATAGGCACGTGTGTGTGTGTGTGTGTGTGTGTGTGTGTGTGTGTGTGTGTGTGTACTGTGTTTGCATGTTGGAGGGAGTGTTGACACCCTCTGTGCCATGGCCCCGGGCCTTCACACATCCAACCAATAGAAAGGGCAGCTCCAAGCAATGCTGGGTTCCCCCTCAGCCCTGAGGCCAGACATGACATTACCTTGGGCAGTGCCTCCACACAACCTCCTCTGTATATATCACAAACTGCAAAAATCACAATGGGAACATGTGACTGCCCACACACACACACACACACACACACACACACAAACACACAAGCTTCGACAGGAGCTCTGTTAATGGCTGACAAAAGGCTTCCATTTTGTTCAGCTCATTTTGTTTCCAACACATGGATGGAAAGATATTTGATCACTTTAATTTTTTTACATTTGATTCACTTCTTTTCATCGAGTGTGACCGAAATTCAATTCCAGTATCTCTTGGTTAAATTGTATGGCTCCAAATAACTGTCATGGTACCAATTTATTTGGTTAACACATTCAGAGAGAGGAACTTTGGTTTGGAAATTTAAGACCATCACTGCTACAAAGAAGGGAAGTTTACCTGAAGCAGTTCTTTACCATAGATTGTTTTGTTATACATTGGTTTTTTTGCAGACTGAAGCTTTTTAATCTTCAAAGCCATCACATTTAGGGCATACGTTATGCATATGTATGTATAAGAAATATGAGTATATGGTTGTAAATGTCTAATGTACATGAATCAGTGGTGCACATTGGTACCTGATTTCCTTTCAACCCAAACAGATGCATATAATATTGGTGCTACACTACATAGAACGTAATCTTCTTTTTTCACCAGATGCAACAACAGGAGCTGGCACAGATGAGGCAGCGAGATGCCAACCTTACAGCACTAGCTGCCATCGGACCCCGCAAAAAGCGCAAGGTGGATTCACCAGGAGCCACGCCATCAGGGACTGAGGTAAGAACCAGACTCACGTATTGGCCAGTTTCATCTTTTTTTGTTGTTGTCCTTATCCAGATATAAATCTAAAAAAAAACAGGTAACTCCAAAAGTGGGAACTGGCTTACTAGGATCTATTTATCTCAGTTTCACTGTGTTTATCTTACTGTCATAAGGAATCTTTTTTTACTTTTACCATTCGTGATGGTTTTACAGACACACGGAGCATATTAACAACCTACCCACTGGCATTTCCTCAGGAGAATACTGAGAAACACAAAGAAAATATTTCCTTGCATTCTTATGTAGGCAGGTTTCAGTAATTTTTTCTTGCTCTGTCTTCTCCAACTGTGGTAAGTTCAAACATTGAGGGTTGCTAAATGGTATGCAAGAAATGAGTCACTGGATATCTTTCTGCGAGACAGTGAATAAGAAATAGAAATGCATAACTGCAGGTGAGGCAATGGTCTCCTGTACACTGGTCAGGTAGTTGCAATTCCTCTTGAAGCGGAGTTTGGTTTTAATGTGGGATGTTTGTTTTCCTCTTTCACATTACTGTCAAGTAACACTTGAGGTTGTACATCACTTTCCGATTAATGCTTCAAACTTGTGATGTGTCTGTATCACTGTATGTTTGTTACTAGACAAAGACGTGATACTTGATAATTGTTACACTCTGTGTCCAACTTAATTAGTAACCATAGTAAACTGTTGCATTGCAGTTTGACACTAGGCAAAACAATTTTTAATACTCTATTCTTTTATTTGTTTGCATGAAACTATTGTCAGGGACTCTTGTACAATATCTTGTTTTAGCTCACAGGGTTCATTTTCAAGTTTCAAGTTCAGTTAAATTCACCCAAAATCACATTTGCTCATGCGTTCAAATTAAAATCAATATAAGGAAATATAAAATGGAGATTGGAAATAAAAATAAAACTCCCTGAGGGAGTATGACAATAAATTCTCTGACAACATTCTTTTTGGCTTGATACTCAATTTATATGTGGAAAAACACTGACTGGGTGGCAAATTATAGGCTCTAATGTTTACTGAGGTGAAAAATCGGAGATAATCAATGAAGGAATACCACTCATTTATTTTTTTATATGACTGTGCAAAGTTGTTCCTCCACCCACATACTTTTGTTTAAATCTTCAGACAAACAAACTCGCAAAAACTTGTCCCCTATTTTCCATTGTATTCTGTTCACAATAAACATGTGGATAAATGAGTGATAAATACTTATTACATTATAGATAATTGTCCACTAATTAGCGCTGAGATACTATTAATAATAAAAAGCAAAATCTATTTTTTTTGTTAAGTAATAGATTGTCTAGGAGAAAAAAATTATATGATTCTAGCACCCAAATAAAATGTAGATAAATTATATGTGAGATCAGTAAAGACAAAATTTATAGATAGCGGGAATGTTTACATGATCTACAGCATTTGGCATTAGAAGGCACATGGGCTGTTCAATGAGTTACCATCATCATGCATTCAAATATTTTACTAATATTGATGAACCAGATTTCTTGACTTATTTATATGCTTATATTTATATTTTGCCCAAGCACCCCATATCTAGGATTGCTTAACAGTCTAGTTCCAGTGTGCGCTGCATTCACAACAAAATAGTTTTGGTGCTGAGAAATGCATTGCTGGAAATGTGTTACTAAGCTGTCGTTTATTCATATAACATGTGGATGAAGATGATCAAATGTTAAATCCATGATTAGATTAATTAACCAATACCTTTCTGTGGGAGTGGGTTTGTGTTGTAGAAAGGTTCTTTGTTGGTCTCTCTTCCCCCACGGCTTCAGTCTTAGAGTCATTGCATTCAAGATCCTCCTCATACTTACCCAGTTATTAGCATTAATCCATCTTAGGTCTCCAATCTAAGTCAGCAACCATGACAAAGATAGAAAGGTAGAAAATATCATGTGTTTCAGGTGGCATACACATTATGTGACCTGCCCTGTCTGTTCTCGATTAAACTGAACGTCTCCTGTTCTATAAGCAGTAACTTTAATGTTATATATTTTTTCATACATGAAGTCATGCACAGTTGCTGTACCGAGTCACATTTTCCTTAAGGCAGGGGAAACATTTGAATTCCACATATTCATCTGTAAATATGATGAATGTAAAATAAGCCTGAATTTTGAATGTCAATTGGTAATTTTAATAACCTACTTATCGAGTTGCATCTTCACATCCTTCGCTTATCAGCAATATGCTGCAGAGGAGCATAGTAATGCACCCGGTAAAAAAGCATAAATAACAAAATAAAAGCATTACTTCTGGTCCTTGAGTGCTGTGCCAACCTCTTTCAGAATGTTTTACCCTGATGGGTATTAGCCTGCGACCTTCTGCTGCGCAAAAAAAAAGCTTACTTAAACTGCTTTCCCAAATACAGTTATACAACATAAACATTAATATACATTATGCTGGAGTTGTTGTCTTTTTGGACTCCCCCCCACCTTCTTTTAATGTCCTGCTTGTGTTTAATTAGAGGGGCATAATGAAGTGAAGTCATAAGGTGCCCCTCCTCTGGAGTGATTGCAGAGGGGGCGGAGGAGGAATCTTAACTTATTTTCACTTCGTTTTCACCTCCTCACATTTCTTCATTTCACATGGGCTTGAAGTGCCTGCGGCGTTCTCTTTCCCTTCTCCAGAGCAAAGTGAATGTGACTTTTCTAAGGGGGTCACAGGATGCCTGGAGGCCTGTGGGTGTTACTGGACTGTTGCCTGCTCTCAGCTTCACTGAGGGGCTTGTCATAGATTTCATCTCCACAGAAATGAGCCGGGGGGCCCTGGCCAGGAGCACAAGCAGCCAACGTTATGAAGGGCCCATGCTGATTATTTCCCTCTGACATCGCATCCTGAGCTTTCCGCATTAATCCCAGACAAAGGCAGCCCTTCAGTGCTGTGCCAGAGCTCAAATTAGGAGCCAGATAATGGCCTTGTTGAGATCCTGCTCTGTTAACTGAGAAGCAGAGCTCCAGTTAAATTCCTCCTCTTCAATATTCCTTCCCTCCTGCTTGTTCTTCTCCTTGTCAGACCACCTTTCCACCATGTTCAGACTGTGACGGAATTCAGGTGACACAATTTCCCTCCATACCCCCGATCACACACCCCACCCCACTCACCCACCTTTAATTTGATGGTAGCTTGGTTGAGCTAGGACCTGCGCGTGGATGACGATGGCCAAGGGCTGTGAAACTGATAGCCAGTCAAGACTGGAGAGTCTCTCTCCAGCCTGGTCTAGTCTGCAGGAAGGAACAAAGGGGGCCTTACAGGGCTCCGCAGGGTGGATTAGTTCCAAGGAGCCAATGGCTGGGGCTGCTGGCTGACTTGCTAGAAGAGGTCCTGCTGTGGTCCCAGCGGTGGGTCACTGCGTAGTCACAGTCTTCGAAAACCACACTCCGGCTAACTAGTCCCCATCCTACTGCCCTCACCCTCCAATCAGCACACACAGGCTTTTGAAGTGTAGCACAAAAGTCAGGGATGGGCTACCTTGAAGAAGGTCAGAGGGAGCTCAAGGTGGATGGAAATGTGACGACAGCACAAATGACCTTTGCCCTCAAGACATAAGCTTGAAGTTGTGGGCACTACCACTTTGATGACTGACTTAGAAATGTTGAGCTACTGGAAACGGAAATTTTAATTCCCAGTGAATATTTTCTTGTTGGAACCAACAAAACCACATTCACTTATATAGAAAAGATGTATTTTAGCTCAGTGGTACAGTTTGTCAAATTAGATCTTTATTCACATTGATTGTTCGAACACACCTTCAATTTTCAGTTTTTCACACTTATAACTGGATTTGACTGAGCCTGTTTCATTTCCTCCCATTGATTTCGATGATGATCTCCTCTTCTCACATCTGGTGCATCCTTGGCTAAATTGTGTTTCTACAGTCTCTTATCAGAGACATCTAAGGTTAGCATTAAAGCTTCTGCGGTAAAAAAATTTGCCTCTGCGCTCAATGTCCTGCAGTGTGAAACATGCTCAGAGCTTTGAAACATCCTTGACACATTTATGAGAACAGAGTTATCATTTAGGCACTAAGGCCATTTATCACATCAAAGCCAGAGCTTTGTTTGTTGACATAAAAATGACAAAAGCCGCAAAATTGCCATGGTTGCGTACAGCCACGCTGCCTTTCTCCTATCTATCTCGACCAGACGCAACGCTTGGGACAAAGGTAGGTGAGCGATTTAATAGTGAGCACAGTCTATTTTTCCATTTGAATTCATTTCACCTTCTTTCTTTGAGGCTGTAGATCAGAAAGAAGGAGTGAGGCAATAGAGTGAGAGGCATGGGGAGAGAGGGGGAAAAGCACAAGGAAAACTGATGCCCTTTCCTCCAGCTAAATTAACAGGAATCACGTGGAAAACAATCTGAGTCTCCAATGAAGGAGGGAGGGGAGGGGGACCATTAAAATTAGCCCCAAGCTATGGACTGCACCCAATATCACTAAAGCTGCACTCACTACAGATGTGGAGGCTGGCTTACAGGCAAACTATGCTCTGTTCTATAGCTACAATTAAAATCAACCTCGCTGCCAAAAAATAGGAGGGGGAAAGAGGGGGTAGAAAGGCAGACATGGAACATCAAAGACAGATTGAAATGTGTAGTCAGTAATAAGAGTGGTCTCCCAGCCCCGAGGTTCTCCACGGTCCCCTTGTTAATGAGAAATTTTGACCTCTGGTTTGTAAGTTAAACTTGTAATCTCGGTTAATGAAGTAAATCAATCCCAACTCGGGAGTGTTGAGTGTCTCTCCCTTTGCTTTCTCCCCGCCAACCTCCCCTCTGTCCTTCTGTCTTGTGCTTTTCTCCTTCTCCTGCTTTCCTTGCGTCCCTCCCAATGTGCCGCCTGGGAGTAAAAATCATCCAGGTCTTCAACCAGACAAACAGGAAACACGCAGACCGCGGTGGTTCCGGAGCCAGAGGGGGGGGCGTAAGGATTCAGAGGACTAGGACCAACCAGGCTGTTTGGTTAA